GCAAAGTGCTGATTTTTTGGCCTATTTCTGATCATTTTACACTTGGTATGACTTGAAAGGATAAAAGAAAATCCAGCAGTTCTTTAATCTGTCCTCTTAGTACTGTTCTATGAATAAAGCCATTCAGGTACCTTCATACATCAAAAATTCTAGAAGGATCTCCTGGACCTCATCAAATAAATTGTATTCCCAGCCCTGAAGAAGAATAGTTTATGTCCCATGCAAGATTAGGTGAGTTATAAGGCCCCTGTATTTCCTGGAATCTGTCCATAGGACCCACTATAAAAAAGAAAAAGAGAATGAAAATAAAGACAGGATGCATGGATGTGTTAACCATAATAGAAAATAATTTTATCTTTGAAAAAACTAGCTAAAACCTTTAATGTTGAGAACTGTCTCTCTCATTGAGGAGATATTCCTATAAAAATATTCTGATGCCACCAAATCATTACTATCTGGATCACAGTTTGTTTTAAATTTGAAGTTATGTCTAGTGGATGATCAAAAATGTAAATGTAAAATGTAAAGACATGACCTTGGCTCAAAGTCTAATTTATTAGCATATTTGTCCTGGACACATCTGTCTTAATTGGATATAGTGAAAAAGCACATCTTAAATGGGAACTTTTAACTAGTTATGTGACTTTATTTGGTAAGTGACTTATTCTTTTTTTGATCAGTTTCATTGTACGTTAGGTGAGTATAAAAATATCAGTTCTTCTTGCTTCATGAGGTCTTTAAGACTATTATATAAAGTATGTGTATTGCAAAACATTACATAAATCATGGTTCTCTTATGATTGCTAATCTATCTTTATATCTAAATATTTGTAGAAAAAATGTCTACAACAATTTTAATCACACCTATAATCCAATTAATTTAAAATTAAATAGTAAAACAAAGACGAAACATTTGACACAAGTCTCACTGGACCTAAAGATTTTAAGAGAAAGCAAACCAGCTAAATGATCACCACTTTGTGGACCTATTGATTCTACTTCCACTGGTGGGAGTGGTAAACCAAGAGTGAGATAAGGAGTGATGAGAATGAGTCACAGTAGAAGAGAGGGGCCTTGCATTTCTGACATAAAAATAATTATAGAATTTAATTGTTTAGTTAGAACTTTGGTGATTATGTACCATACATCTGTTAGAGTGCCCTAGAACCCTCCTTAAATATAGTAGGCATTCAGGGTTTCTGGAATGAATGAATTTGCTATATGAGTAAGTCAAAGTATTCAAGGTGACTTAAGAAGATACATAATGTAAGTAGAACCAAGACCAAGCCTAAGGCAAGAAAATTCCAACCCAGAATTCTCTACATGCTGCCTTTTGTTGATACAGGCCATGCTACCACTGATTTTAGAAAGATGTAGCCATATGAACTGAGCACCTTAGCCTATTTCTTTTCACTGTTATGGTTTTTAGGTTAAATAGGATCCAGAATCTGGTAAGACCATCCCTTTTAGTTACCTTGAAGAGTTGACATCTACAGAGATAAAGCTAGATTCAGTAGTTTAGGTAAATAAAAGGTTGAATGTGACAGTAAAACTAGACTCCCCCAAAAGCCTTGATTCTCAGCAGCTGGGAAGGAGCAGTATCTGAATCTAAGCTGTAGGACCTACTCATGGAAAAAGAACAGGAGGTGAGGTCAACATCTCTAGAGATCAGGTCATGCACATTATGTTTGACAACGACTCATGTTCACACTATTTCGTTCTGAACTATTTAAAAAATATATATAGATACAAATATATAAAATGGAAATTATATATATATATCTCTAATTTTTAAATGATATGCATAATGATATATTAAAATACATTATTACGGGGCGCCTGAGTGGCTCAGTGGATTAAAGCCTCTGCCTTCGGCTCAGGTCATGATCCCAGAGTCCTGGGATCGAGCCCCGCATCGAACTCTCTGCTCGGCGGGGAGCCTGCTTCCTCCTCTCTCTCTGCCTGCCTCTCTGCCTACTTGTGATCTCTGAGTGTCAAATAAATAAATAAAATCTTTAAAAAAATTTTTTTTAAATACATTATTACTATTTTTTTTTTCCTCACAATTGGTGCTATTACTCATGCTCATCCAAGGAGAAAGAGTGCAACAAGCAGTTTTACTTTCAGCAGCAAACATTATGCAAAAGGCTGCCTGTGTGCTCAGCCATGAGCATCCACTATCTTATTCATAGTTCAGTGCAACCAGTGGTGTTTTGCTTCACTTTGTGCCACTTATTTACTGCCTGAAAACTTTTCTTGAACCATAAACCTGTACAAGTGGCAATCTTAGATCTGTCCACCACAAAGAATTAAAAAATCATATAGTTTTACAAATACTTAGAACTGACTGATAATACACCATATGAACTTACAGTGTAGTACTTAAAGTGAAACTTGTAGACTTACTTTGTATATTTGAAAAAGATATACTGACAATTAATGAATTAAGCATGAAATGCAGGAAGTTAAAAGACTGAATAATTAACACAAAGAAACTAGAAAGAAGTAAGAAAATTTATAGAAAATGTATAGTAAGAACAGATATTAAATGTAATAGAAGACAAAGAAGCAGTTAGATAAACAAAACCAAAAGTTGTTTCAAACCTCTGGAAAGCTTGATCAAGGGAAAAAAAAATACAAAATTAAATAAAATTAAGAACACAAAAAGGATTTCACTACGGATTTAGTGAAGATGAAAAACGTCTTTAAGAGTTTTATGAACGACAGGATGGATTACCTAGCAAATTGAACACACGCATGTCATAAAGCCAGCAGCAATTCCACTGTGGTACAAACTCCAGAAAAACTTGCACACATATCCCGCTCGAACATGTCCAGAAACCAGCCTGTGAGGAGGAATAAAGAGGTCTAGATGGTTCTGTGGCAAAGGATGGTGACAGCTACTTAGAATTGGAGTTGATATATCAGCAGAAGCAATTAGCCAAAGTTCCGGGACTATAGGGTGCTATGATTGTAATGGATAGTGCTAACTTAGTTTCCCAAGAGCTTGGAAACACCAGGAAGGAGGACTGCTGCACACTGGAAAGAGGAAACCTTCATGAGTGCTGTTTTCCGAGTCCTCCTCTTTGGTATGCTGAGAAGTGGCAAGATGTTGAGACAACAGTCATCACAGCACTGCTGTGATTCAGGCTGAGGAACCATGGAAGTACATTTCCTGCTTGAGGATTTGTATTCCAGAGATGGAGCAGCTACAGCTACACTTTTGTATATAACAGCAGAAACGCTAAAAGTTGTTTGCAAAAGGTGTCCTTTCTTCCCTGTAACTTTACTAAGTAAGAAATTACTACTTAGCTACATTTTGATGAAGCAACAAAGACAGTGTGCCATTGGTGTGCTGCCATTCTAAGAGTAGATTTTTGAAATCTGTATCTTCTCCCTTTAGGATAAGACGAAGTTTATTTTTTCAGGGCTTTAAAACTTCTTTCTCAGTCATCATTTCATATTGTGAACTACCACTCAAAAGACACCCTTACATTGCAAGAAATTCTGCAAAAGGTGGACTATTCTCTTGTATGTGAGATTGAAAATCCAAAAAGTTTGGCAAATTTCTAACCAGAAACAATATCATCAGAAATAGTGCCCAAGCATTTTTTTTTTCTCCACTCTGCAATATGGTGTTAAGCTCCCTAATTGTAAAGTCCTTGATTTATCTCCTTTTAGCACTTAATTGATTACTACCCTCAATGATTGTACAGACTTTATTTCTTTGGATTTTATGCTAGGTACGTATATATTTACTTCCTAAACTCAAAATTAGAGATAAGTATAAACTGCTGTTTGTCAGTTTTGTCTTTTTTAGTTAAAATGTTGCTATTGTTAACTCATTTTTTTTTTCCCTTGCATTTTGTGTTCAATAAATAGTTCTATTTGGGGTATAGATGGCAAATTCAATTCCTCAGCTAGACTCAAAAGAACCATGTAGCATATAATGTTCTGACAAATAGGGCCATAAAATTTAAAAATGATCTTTAAGAATAGGATATTTTTCACAAAAGTAGCTTAAGGGAAATGATTTTCATAGTTCTAAATCTTAAAGCATCCCCAGCAAATAAATGGAGTTTGACACATTGTACACAGGTGTAGATTTTTATAACTTCATTTGTTAATCTGGAAGACCTAAACAACAGAGATTTTCAGGGAAAGGCTAAATGAAATCTTGATGAGAATATTATAGATAGAATTTAGGCATCAAATGAGTGGTTCAGTTAGTGATCTTGAAAGTCATTTCCCTCCCTGAGAATTTCTATTGTTAGATTTATGAGAATAGTGGAGAATTAACTTAAGGACCTGGTGGCCTACTTTGACTTATGAATTTAGAAGAGTTACTCATACAAATAACATTTTTTTTTCTAGATACCCTATTAAAATATCATTATAAAGTTACTGAACAGTAACCCTGTACAAAAACAGTATTAAATTTGTCTCCACCACCAGCATATTGTGGACAGTCTCTTTTATGTGCGGGTAAAATGAACTATCCTGTTCTGAGCTGGTGGGCAAGAGAGCCCCCTTGAAAGACCCTGACTGACCAAATCATGCAGTCAGCTGTGGAAAACCATTCGTGTTAGTGAGGAGTAGTCTGGCAGTTAATTGCAGTTGACTGGGAACCTAGCCTCCATCCCTGCCTCTGGTTCTGCAGGTGTGGTAGTCTTTCATACCTTTCTGTGACTTTGATGCACCTTCGTGGGCAGACTGTTCTAAAATCTACCTCACAGGGGCGCCTGGGTGGCTCAGTGGGTTAAAATCTACCTCACAATGACTGTGTAACTTGTGCATTTTCAAAAAATAAACTGTGATATCTGGGGGAGGAGTCAGTTCTCCCTTAAGGGAAAATTTTCTTAGTTTTTTGCTTCAAGTTGGACTCAACTTGAGTTGTTAACTTCTGTGGCATCACTGAGTTTTGGAACAAAGCAATTGATTCAGGATAAACTACTTCAAATTTTAAAAAACAATTAATTTATTTTTCCTTTCACCCACAGGTCTACCCACGGATAGCGCCGGCATTTTGGCACTACCTGCGGGTAGAAGTGAGTAGCGGGTACTTGAATTTTCCCACCCTTGCTCCTTGCACTCTGCTGGTGTGGTCTGATCTGATGTGCCCATTTTGTTCCCAGTGCAGCTGCCATTCTGTGTAAACGTGCTCTCACGCCACCACCATTCCTTAGAGTTGGATCAGAAATCCAAATCACCAAAAATCCAAGTGCAAGTTTATATAAGATAATCATCTTTCTTAGTAAATTACCAAATCAAGACCATATCATATGCATCATAATGATAAATAACTAAATGCTAAATTTTGGAAAACCATGCTTACTCCTCTCTTTAATCAATATTTTTGATATTCAGAGCATAATTCCTCAGCTTAACTTGGGAATGTATCTAGGAAAAAGTGGAATAACTCTGCTTCATTTCCTTTCTCCTCTTCTCTATCCCCAGGAGCATGAGCAGCTTACCTATTCCTCCACGAGGTCCAAGGCACCCAGTGTCATCATCACAGGTCTCAAGCCAGCCACCAAGTACATATTTCATATCCGAGTGAGGACTGCAACAGGATACAGTGGCTACAGTCAGAAGTTTGAATTTGAAACAGGAGATGAGAGTAAGTTTTACACAAACATACAAAATAAGATGTTAATTTAGTACTACTCCAGTCTCACCTGATCGTTAAAAATCTGATGTCCCCAACTGTGAATAGTCTCATCAAACAGGATTCTGTTCACGTAAATACTCATATTGTCATTTCGGTTAATGTTGTGGTGCTATCATTAAATACCTCCATGAAATGCCTTACTCTACCGCAATTGTAACGTGGCCCAAATACTTCTCTTTATGCAGAATTCATCACTCATGCTATAGCATAGAGTCTCAGTGGGCGGTGTTAGCCTAATTGTTTGCCAGTTTTGGCATCATAATATGATACTAATGAAAACTTGGAAAGGAACAAAGCCATGAGCAAATGATTTTAGCAGTTAGTTCAAAATTGTACAGCTTTGGCTTGTTATCTCAGATCAATAAAAAACAGTAGTCAGGAGAAAAACTCCACTGAAATGTATATTATAAGTTTAAATATAGACACGTGGGCTTAATTAGAAACTCAAATTAGTTCTGTAGCCTTGATGTGTTGAAAAATCAAAATGGGAGACGAAGGGAGTGAGGTGTTCCAATGTCATGTAACATAGGCTTTGAAATGTCTTATTTAGTCTAAATCCTGCTCTACCGTTGAATTCAATTTTTGCTTTCATAAAAGTATCTTACTGCTATCTTTGTAAAGACAGTATATGTGGCTTTTGCAATGTTCCTTTATGGAAAAATGTCCAAATATCTAATTATAATAAAAATCTGTCCCCATCATTGCTAAAATACCCATATTTATATAAAAATTCAAGAATAGCAAATAAATTTAAAAAATTCTTTATAAGTAACAATAATAGCTACCATTTATTGAGCTTATATTGAGCTACCATTTATTGAGCTCCTAATAAGTACTAGAAATTATGTATCTTATATGTATTTTTCCATTTAAACCTTTCAACATCCAGTAACACCAGTATGATTTTTCTAATTTCACTCATGAGAAAACAGAAGTCTAGAGAAATAGAGCAATTTGTCCAGATATATGGAATTAGTAAGAAGCTAGGCTACGGGGCGCCTGGGTGGCTCAGCCATTAAGCGGCTGCCTTTGGCTCAGGTCATGATCCCAGAGTCCTGGGATCCAGCCCCACATCTGGCTCTCTGCTCAGCAGGAAGCCAGCTTCTTCCTTTCCCACTCCCCTTGCTTGTGTTCTCTCTCTCTCTCTCTCTCTCCCTCTGTGTCAAATAAATAAATAAATTCTAAAAGAAAGAAAGAAGGAAAGAAAGAAAGAAACTAAGCTGAAATTTGAAACTGAGGGCTACCTTTTCTAAGGCTTATGCTCTGAACTACTCCACCATCCTATTGAGTTCTTTCATTGGAATTATTAATAAGAGCTAATGGTAAGATCAGGAAACAGGCCACAATTCCTCTAGTATGTCACTTCCTCAAAATGAAGCTGTTGGAATTTCAAATTCTATGATGGAAGAAGTGTTGTTTTTATATTGACAAACAATATCAATTTGTAAGAATGTCCTCGTTGCAACTATATGTCCCACCTTTCCCCTAAAAGGTGGGAAAACACCAGCATAATTAAGGAGGAACACAGCTTAGGGAGAGAGAGTAAACTAATGAATAAAAAGAACACATACAACCTGGATGTGTAATATCAGTGATGGTCATTTATAATCCTGCTGGAGACTATTGACTTCTCAAGCTAGAGATGAAATTATTGGGAGTGGAATGTAATTATCACAAAACATAGTTCCACAATTAAAAACAATATAAAAATATTCAAAGTGCCATCCCTCCTGTTGACTCTTTTTCCCCTGCTCTCATGTCAAGACTTTGCCTTGATGCAAAGCCAGAGGATGCAATTCAAGGAAAGTTTGGTCCTGGGAAGAGTCCTCTCATTGTGTTGTTCAGACTGTGTGTACTGCATCCCTGCATCTCAAGTTTCCTTACTTTCTTTCACTGATGAGAAATTTATCTTTTTAAAAGTATGACATTTTTGAGTATTACATCATTAAGTCAAAAATATATTCTCAGACAAATTTATAGGGCTAAATCTAGATAAGTCATTTGTGTTTATCTGGGACTTCTATAGAAAACAATCTAGTCTAATTTAAAAATAGTAAGAAAGTAAGAATATATAAACATTACATGTGGATCTTTTTGAGAAAGGTAAAAGATCGGTGTCAGATGCTAATATAAGAATTTTCTCCATATTAAAATGAATTCATATTAGGCCCCAAACTATCAAACACACACACACACACACACACACACACACACACACACACACATTAAGTGCCGACCTTTTTGGCTTATATGAAAGAAACAACAGGAAATTTTAACCACCTTATATTTATTATAATTTTGTCCTTATTTTCTGGAGAAAATGTTCTTCTTTTCAATGGAAAGAAAGATAACAATTAAAATTAAAAAGTTATCTACATAGCCAGTAGTATCCATATCCTTGCAAACTTCTTAAAAAAGATGTTTGATTTAATTTTTTAATAATAATTACTTAAAATTACACCTACTTTTTTTTAGAAAAAGCAATATAAATAATTTAAAGATAAGGAAGTTAAACATTTGGTTATTTAAATCACCAAAACTTTTTTTTTTTACAAGATTTATTTATTTATTTGAGAGAGAGAGAGAGAGAGAGAACTGGGGTGAGGGGAGAATCCCAAGTAGACTCCCCACTAGGCACAGAACCAGAGGCCTGACTCGAGCTCACGACCCTGAGATCCTGACCAGAGCTAAAATCAAGATGCAGATGCTTAACGGACTGAGCCACCCACAACTCATAAAACCCCAAGACTTATCTAATATCCAAATGTATTTTAGAGTAGCAGAAAGTAATTTCATGTATACATCTTTTAAAATATAAGTAAAATAAATAAAATATATCCTGCTGTATTGCAGCCAACTTGAACATTTTACTTAAATACTTGTGAAGAAAACTTGTGAAGCTGTCAAAAGGGTGCAGAATCCATAGCTTAAAGCCAATTTTTGAAAGAAAGCTGGAAATTTACACATAGTAATTAGCAGTTTACCTCTCCCATTGCATTAGTGGTTATCCAAATGACCCAGGAGAAATATACATTGCCAACATGGAAGCATTGCATTCTTTTCCCCTGGAAGGATTAATTATACATATACATTAAATTTCAGCAACATACAAACTTAGGTTTTTACCTGTAAGCTACATGAAGCACTTTTGTAGCACAAAGGCCACATCTGTCAACATTTTAAAATGTATTATTTACCAAAAGTAGTAACAATGGACTAGGTTTATATCACATGACATAACCGCACAAAAATCATCATAATCAGCTTTACCAACCAAACAATAAATTACTGGGCCATAGTAGGTATTTCAAAATAGAATCTTATGTCATGGGGTGCCTGGGTGGCTCAGTCATTAAGCCTCTACCTTGGGCTCAGGTCATGATCCCAGAGTACTGGGATCCTGTCCCACATGGGGCTCTCTGCTCAGTAGGAAGTCTGCTTCTGCCTCTCCCATTCCCCCTGCTTGTGTTCCCTCTCTCACTGTGTCTCTCTCTTCCAATAATAAATAAAATTTTATGGCGTGTCTTTCACATGTATACAAAAAGTGTTAGTGTAGTTATAAATGAATGAATTTAATCACTTAATTATTTTTAAATATCCATAATAGTTAGCTGTTTTTAGTATGGTTTCATAGTTAAGCAATTTGATTGTTTAACAATTTATAAATGGGAAATGATTCTAGAAATTAAGGTTCAATATCGTGTTTCTTATTCCTTCTGCCCTAATTTGTTTTTTATGCCTCAATTGGACTTATTTTTCTATACTCCACCCTGTCCACTTAAAAGCTCCAAATCATTGAGTATTTTCTACCACATAAAATGTGAATTTCTCAACAAATATTCAAGTCTCCCTCCAATCCTAATCAACTAACATCATTCTTGTATCATCTCCCTCTAGTTAACACAAATTCTGAAAAAATATATGGCTGCTTTATACATGAAATTTTCTGAATCTGCATAATTTCTAAGCTTTTTCTATGACTTCCAACTGGAAGATTCAGAAACCTATCACAGTACAGATGGTCAGTCCAGCTCATCTGCTACCTCTCCTGAAATGTCTGGATCAGTGTGGTGAAAAGTCATCTCTTTCCTCAGACACTTTATATTATATTGTGCAAGTGCTCAATTATTTGCTAAGTTGTTAGCTCTTCAAGGTTAAGAACTATAGCTAGTGTATTTGTGTGTCTTGTGAAATGCCTTGCTTATAGTTTCCAAAATAAATGAGTGACATACAATTTTAAAAGGCTAAAATTGGGAGAATAGCACGCTGCCTGCCAGTCTAAACAGAAAGAATCAAATATTTTTATTTGCCACAGATAAACATTTTAGCTTGCTTTATTTGGGCTGTCAGGCTGTAACTGGCTTGAGTTGTATAGAAACATAGTATGTAGAACTTTAATCACAAATTAATTTTTAATTCTAAAATTAAGGACATTTTAGGTAGAATTAAATGATATTTTTGTTGTTGTAAAACATATTTTTTTCATTAAGCTTCCTTTTGAAAAAAATCTCTATTATGCTTAAAAAAAAAAAAAACTCTATTATGTTTGATCTGGTCTATTGGTTGAAGCCCAATCTGTACTGCTTCAATTACTTAGGATGAAATTAGCTACATCATTATTAACAGCAGCCAGAAGTTTGAGGATGGTTATTAATGGTGAAGCACGAAGCAGAAAGAAGACCAGCTGACCCTGGTGGAGTAATAAAAAAGTTAATTAATCAAACAAGAGATTTCATATTTATGAGTCTACCCAGAGGAGGACAAATACCAGTATGTAAGATTTTAATTTGAAATAATCTCCAATCAATAGAACACTTTTTTTTCCCCCAATCAATAGCACACTTTCAGTGTTGGCAACCATAGCTATCTAAATGCAAACGTCAGTAGGAAAGAAGAATTTTCTAGCAGTTAAGTTGTCCAACTATAAACTGGCCCACCTTATGAGGTAA